GGTATGTGTGTGGTCGGAATAATATTTGTGCTGTATGGACGATGGAGCGGGAGGGAGGTGGGTGTGGTGGGTGGGAAGGAGAGGGTGTTCTGGGAAAACAAGAACCCCACTCAGGATGTGGGGAACCATAGTACCACGAATACTAATAAGACTTACGAGTCATAACAATCCACATAATAATACGAATACTAAGGCTACTACTAATAAGCAGGATAAACATACTCATATTACGAATACTACTCGTACGAACGATAGGAGGACGACGAAGAGGCGGAGGAGGAGGTGGAGGCGGAGGCGGAGGCGGGGACGGAGGCGGAGGCGGAGGCGAAGGATGCGGAGGCGGAGGCGGAGGAGGAGGAGGAGGAGGGAGGAGGAGGAGGAGGAGGAGGAGGAGGAGGAGGAGGGGAGGAGGACAGAGGAGGAGAAGAAGGAGGAGGAGGAAGAGGAGGAGGAAGGAGGAGGACGACGAGGTACGTGGAGGAGGAGGAGGAGGAGGAGGATGAGTGAGGAGGAGTGAGGGGAGGAGGAGAGGGGCAGGAGGAGGAGGAGGACGGAGGAGGTGGGAGGAGGGAGGGGGAGGAGGGGGAGGGAGGTAGGGGGCGGAGGAGGCATGGAGGAGGGGGGAGGGTGCAGGGAAACAGGGAGCAGGGAGCAGGGAGGAGGAGGATGGGGAGAGGGGCGGAGGGCGGAGGGCGGAGGGAGTAGGGAAGGACGGAGGAGGGAGGAGGGAGGTGGGAGGAGGGAGGGGGAGGAGGGAGGACGGGAGGGGGAGGAGGGAGGAGGGAGGTGGGAGGAGGGAGGAGGGAGGAGCGGGAGGGCTCCACCTCACCACGAAGGGATCGGCGCCACCGACACACACCTCCACCACCACCTCTTCCATCATCCCTTTCCCCATCCCCACCACCGCCACCGCCGCCACCACCCTCCTCCTTCACCACTGGCTCAAGCCGCCCGGGGGCGGCCCGAGCAGCGCGGGCCCGGCGATGCCAGCCGAGCCCCGCCCGGGGCTATGGCGGGCGTGCAGCCCGCCAAGCCCGCGGGCCGGCTGCGAGCGGCGGTGAAGAGCTCCGCCGCCCTCCGGAGGGCCGGCGCCGCCCTGTCGACGCCCCGCGCCGCGGAGCGCTGGGCTGCGCGCGGGACCCTGAGATCCTGGCGTTGCCATGTTTTTCACAATGGGCGTATTCGCCCAGGCTCGGGCCCCAGGAGCCTCACAGATCGATCCGCCTCGAAAATGACGCAGACAGACGGGGTCCGGGGCTCTGGGCGTGTTTTTTCCCCATATCCTAAGATGGGGTTATTGTTATTACTTGGACGCCTCCTACTCCTTCTTCTCCCTCTTTTCCTTCTCCTCCTCCTCATACCCAGACTTACTCCCACTCAGATTTACTCATACCCAGACTTACTCAGACACAAACTTACTCATACTAAGACCTACTCATACTCAGACCTACTCCTACTCAGAGTTACTCATGCTGGGACTCACTCATGCCCAGACTAACTAATACTCAGACTTGTTCCCAGACTTACTCATACTAAGACCTGGTCGTACTCAGACCGATTTATTGTCTGATTTATTCCACACACACACAGCTGATTGTGAGGATGTCTCAGGCGGGGCGCTGGCTTCAGCCCCCCTAAGGGGAGCCGCCAGGGGTGATTTCACGGTCCCGTTCGCAGCAGTTTTGTGGGGATGTGCCTGTTTTCTGTCCCAACATCCTTGGCGGCTATCCGAGCAGATTGTGAGGATGTCTCAGGCGGGGCGCTGGCTTCAGCATCCCTAAGGGGGGCCGCCAGGAGTGTTTTTACGGTCCCGTTCGCGGCCGTTTTGTGGGGATGTCTCAAGCGGTTTGCTTGTTTTCTGTTCCAACATCCTTGGCTACCAGAGCAGATTGTGAGGATGTCTCAGGCGGGGCGCTGGTTTCAGCTCCCCCTGAGGAGAGCCGCCAGGGGTGTTTTCACGGTCCCGTTCGCGGCCGTTTTGTGGGGATGTCTCAAGCGGTTTGTTTGTTTTCTGTCCCAACATCCTTCGCTTTCGGAGCAGATTTGGAGGATGTCTCGAGCGAGGCGCTCATTTTCACCCCCCAGGTGGACCAGATTTTGAGGATGTCTCGATCGGTGGCCAGACTCGTGGGCACAGATTCTCTTAAGGATGCCACAGGAGGCTCCAACAGGCTCCAGGAGGCCCCAGTAGACCACATGAGGTCCCAGTAGGCATCAGGAGGCGACAAAAAGACTGAAGAGGCCACAGGATGTCCCAAGAGGCTCTAGGAGGCCCCAGGAAGCTCCGGGAGGCCTCAGGAAGCCACAGGAGGCCCCAGGAGGCCAGAGGAAGCGCCAGGAGGCCTCGGAAGGCAACAGGAGGCCCCGAGAGGCCCCAGGAGCAGGAGGCCTCAGAAGGCGACAGGAGTGGCTCCAATCCCATGTGTTTTACGTATGCTCCTATAGATTGGGCCTCACCTGGAGCACGAATCCTTGATGATATACGTATGTTTCCATAGATTGTCCTTCTCCTGTGTACTTCTGTTCCTATAGGGCCTCTCCTGGGGCACGAGTCCTGGATGTTTTACGTGTGTTCCTATAGATTGCCCCCTTGTCCTGTGGCTCCAATCCGCAATGTTTTATGTACGTCTGTTGCTATATATTGGGCCTCTCCTGGACACGAATCCTCCCTAGGAGGTCCCAGGAGGCCCCAGGAGGCCCCAAGAGGCTCCTGGAGGCCCCAGGAAGCCCCAGTAGGTTTCAGGAGGCCCCAGGAGGCCCCAGGAAGACCCAGGCTCATGCGCAGAGACGCGCTCGTAGTATTGAGGCTCATTCACACTCCAATTCATTTTCAGTTAGAGTCATGACCAGACCGTCACAACTGAAGCCTGTTTATTCTACAGGCTTACGCCACATCCGCCGTCCCCTTCTGTGACTGTTGCGAGGCCAGGAGTTTCTGGGCAGCGGCGTCTTGTGTGAGGTTGCGGTGTCGCGCGCGGATGGTGGCAGATACGTGGGGGGTCCAAATGTTTGCGTGATGCCGGTGGTTTGGGGCGTGTTTTGCGAGCGCCTTGAGTGCTGTGCACCCGGGTGCGGGGTGTCCCTCTGGGAGGTCGGCCTTTCGACCCTGAACCAAGTGGAGGAGCACCGGAAAACGAAAGGAGCAAGAGTAGCGTGCGGAAGCTGTGATCAGCGAAGCATCACCGCGAAAGATGTGGCAAATGAGTCGAAACGGGTGAAGAGGCTGTTGACGTTCGCAGCGCGCACGAAACAGTTCGCGTAGCAGCGGCACATTGGCGCCGAGCAAGATTGTGAGCACGTCGCGAGGAAGAGTAAGGCTGCATGCGCGGAGTGCATTGCAGTTGGCTTGACGGCTCGCAATGCGGAAGCGTCTGGGGGTCTTTTGGAGGCCTCCTGGGGGCCTCTTGGGGGCTCCTTGGGGCGTCTTGGCGGCCTCTTGGGGGCCTCTGGCGGCCTCTTGGGGCACTTTTGGGGCCCCCTGGGGCTCGTGGGGGCGGAAAGCTAGATTTTTCCCAACACTCCTGCGTTGGGTTCTCGTTTTGAATAGAGCACTGCTCGCGCGAACCTTCCTTCCTTCCTTCCTTCCCGTCCCTCTCTTCCCCCCTGCCTTTGACCTCGCTCGTCGCTGCGTGCCAGCTGGGGGGCTGCGATCTGGGAAACTGTCGCCACTTTCGAGGCCTGCTGGGGGGCCCAGCACAGTGGGTACCCACGGCGGATTCAAATGGGACCTCGCCATCCCTGGGGGGCTGCGATGTGTGAAACTGTCGCCACTTTCGAGGGCTGTTGAAAAGGCCCAGCACAGTGGGTACCCACGGCGGATTCAAATGTGACCTCGCCATCCCTGGGGGGCTGCGATCTGTGAAACTGTCGCCACTTTCGAGGCCTGCTGGGGGGCCCAGCACAGTGGGTACCCACGGCGGATTCAAATTGGACCTCGCCATCCTTCGGGGGCTGCGATCTGTGAAACTGTCGCCACGTTCGAGGCCTGCTGGGGGGCCCAGCACAGGGGGTACCCACGGCTGATCTAAATGTGACCTCGCCATCCCTGGGGGGCTGCGGTCTGTGAATTTGTCGCCACTTTCGAGGCCTGCTGGGGGGCCTAGCGCAGTGTGTACCCACGGCGGATTTTAATGGGACCTCGCCATCCCTGGGGGGCTGCGATCTGTGAAACTGTCGCCACTTTCGAGGCCTGCTGGGGGGCCCAGCACAGTGGGTACCCACCGCAGTTCAATGACCTCGCCGTCCCTGGGGGGGGGCGATTGTGAAACTGTCGCCACTTTCGGGGCTGTGGGGGGCCCAGCACAGTGGGTACCACGGCGGATTCAAATGGGACCTCGCCATCCCTGGGGGGCTGCGATTTGTGAAACTGTCGCCACTTTCGAGGGCTGCTGGGGGGGCCAGCGCAATGGGTACCCACGGCGGATTCAAATGTGACCTCGCCATCCCTGGGGGGCTGCGATCTGTGAAATTACCGCCACTTTCGAAGGCTGCTGGGGGGGCCCAGCACAGTGGGTACCCACGGCGGATTCGAATGGGACCTCGCCATCCCTGGGGGGCTGCGATCTGTGGAACTGTCGCAACTTTCGAAGGCTGCTGGGGGGCCCAGCACAGCGGGCACCCACGGCTGATTCAAATATGACCTCGCCATCCCTGGGGGGCTGCGGTCTATGAGTTTGTCGCCACTTTCGAGGCCTGCTGGGGGGCCCAGCACAGTGGGTAGTCACCGCGGATTCAAATGGGACCTCGCCATCCCTGGGGGGCTGCGATATGTGAAACTGTCGCCACTTTCGAGGGCTGCTGGGGGGCCCAGCGCAGTGGGTACCCACAGCTCCCTGGGGGGCTGCGATCTGTGAAACTGTCGCCACTTTCGAGGCCTGCTGGGGGGCCCAGCACAGTGGGTACACACGGCGGGCTCAAATTACACCTCGCCATCCTTCGGGGGCTGCGATCTGTGGAACTGTCGCCACTTTCGAGGCCTGCTGGGGGGCTCAGCACAGTGGGTACACACGGCTGGTCCAGATGTGACCTCGCCATCCCTGGGGGGCTGCGATCTGTGATACTGTCGCCACTTTCGAGGCCTGCTGATGGGGCCCAGCACAGTGGGTACACACGGCGGATTCAAATGTGACCTTGCCGTCCTTGGGGGGCTGCGATATGTGAAACGGTCGCCATTTTCGAGGGCTGTTGAGGGGCCCAGCACAGTGGGTACCCACCGCGGACTGAAATGTGACCTCGCCATCCCTGGGTGGCTGCGATTTGTGAAAGTGTCGCCACGTTCGAGGCCTGCTGGGGGGCCCAGCACAGTGGGTACCCACGGTTGATCCAAATGTGACCTCGCCATCCCTGGGGGGCTGCGGTCTGTGAATTTGTCGCCATTTTCGAGGCCTGCTGGGGGGCCTAGCGCAGTGGGTACCCACGGCGGATTCGAATGGGACCTCGCCATCCCTGGGGGGCTGCGATCTGTGAAACTGTCGCCACTTTCGAGGGCTGCTGGGGGGCTCAGCACAGTGGGTACCCACCGCGGACTGAAATGTGACCTCGCCATCCCTGGGGGGCTGCGATCTGTGAAACTGTCGCCACTTTCGAGGGCTGCTGGGGGGCCCAGCGCAGTGGGTAGTCACAGCGGATTCACATTAGACCTCGCCATCCCTGGGGGGCTGCGATCTGTGAAACTGTCGCCACTTTCGAGGCCTGTTGGGGGGCCCAGCACAGTGGGTAGTCACCGCGGATTCAAATGTGACCTCGCCATCCCTGGGGGGCTGCGATCTGTGAAACCGTCGCCAGTTTCGAGGCCTGCTGGGGGGCCCAGCACAGTTGGCTTCCCTCACGTCTTTCTCCTGCTCGTCGTTCCCGACTCCCCATGTCCTGTTCGAGTCTGTAGTTGTCGCCCGGCGTTCTTGTATGGTTCTCCTGCGCATCATGCCATCGGCGCGTGTCCCAAGTGTCTTGCATATCAAACAACGGATCCTGCAATTTGATTGTCCATGCAAGTTTCGGCCAACTCCTCGTTCCCCATGATACAAATGGGTTGGGTATGTCACAGGGTATTTGAATTTTTGGTTGCCCTCTTGGGCCCCTCTTGGTGCCGTCTTGGAGCCTTCTTGGGCCGTCTTGGGGACCTCTTGGGCCGTCTTGGGGCCATCTCGGGCCGTCGTGGGGCCGTCTTGTGGGCCTCTTGGGCCGTCTTGGGGCGGTCTTCGGGGCCTTTTGGGCCGCCTTGGAGCGTCGGAAAACCCACGAGGCGAATTTGTGTAAACTATATGTTTTACGAAGGAAAGGAACAGTTTTTTGCGTCTAGGGACCCTCTTGGGATGCATCTTGGAGGCCCCTTGGGGGCGTCTTGGGCCAGCTGGAGGCCATCTCGGGTGTCTTCGATCGCTCTTGGACCGTGAGGGACCATGTTGAACTCTCTGGGAAGCCACTTGGAGCGCTCCTGGAGCGCTCTTGGGGCCGTCTTCGGGGCTCTCTTGGGCCGTCTTCGGCGCCTCTTGAGCCGTCTTGGCGCCCTCTTGGGCTGTCTTGGGGCCCTCTTGGAGGCTTCTTGGACCGTCTTGGTGCGGCCTTGGGGGCCTCTTGGGCCGTCCGGGAGCGTCGGAAAGCCCCAAAGGCGAATTTGTGAAAAATATACGTTTTACAAAAGGAACGGGCCAACTTTTTGCGTCTAGAGGCCCTCTTGGGGCGCATCTTGGATGCCTCTTGGGGCCTCTTGGGGGCATCTTGGGCCGTCTGGAGGCCGTCTTCGGTGTCTTCGATCGCTCTTGGACCGTCTGGGACCATATTGAGCTCTCTTGGAGGCCACTCGGAGCGCTCCTGGAGCGCTCTTGGGGCCGTTTTCGGGGCCCTCTTGGGCCGTCTTGGACGCCTGTTGGCCCGTCTTGGGGCTCTCTTGGGCTATTTTGGGACCCTCTTGGAGGCTTCTTGGGCCGTCTTGGGGCGGTCTTGGGGGCCTCTTGGGCCGTCTGGAGCATCGGAAAACCCAGAAGGCGAACTTGTGAAAAATATACGTTTAACGGAGGGAATGGGCAAAATTTTGCGTCTAGGGACCCTCTTGGGACGCATCTTGGAGGCCTCTTGGGGCCTCGTGGGGACCTCTTGTGCCGTCTAGGAGGCCTCGCAGCCCGTCTTTGGGCCACCTTGGGCGTCTTGGAGCGCTCGTTTGGCGTCCCGGGGCCATTTCGAGGCCACAGGAGGAGTCCCTGCAGGATTTTCGGGAGCGGATGACCCCCCCGGGGGAATCGGGGGAATCGGGGGAATCGGGGGAATCGGGGGATTTGGCCGGACCCCCCCCCCCCTCCAAATCGACCGGACCGGGCTCCCGGGGGAGGGGTTTGGGGAGGGGAAGATCTCACACGCCGATGAACCCCAAGGGGTCGGCGGATATTCGAAAGCTCTTGCGCCTAGACATTCACGGCGGACAGGTCAATGCGAATAGATGCACATATGGGGAGCTCCACGCAGTGAATATTTTTGGTTGCGATGTTGCATTACTTCTGCAGCGTCGGATCTCAGGGGGTCATTGAAGGCAGCAGTCAGATTCGGAGATTCGGGCTAATGGGTCCTTTGCAAAAGGGGTCTCGAAGACGTGCGCAAGAGTCCGTCCAGTCGTTCGTGCTGGATCGTGCTGGATGCGGGCAGACTGCGTTGCATCTGGCGTCGTTAGTCCGTGAGAGAGGCTACGCGCCATGAGCTACAGGATTATCTGTTGCACATTTTTTTGCGACACCATTGCGAAAGAACTCCTTTGCCTGGAATCAGAACAGGAGGTGAAGGCACGTCTTGTATGTTTTACGCAAGGATGTTTCTGGGCCTCCCAGATGGGGCCCGAGCGAAGGGGGTCGGAGGGTCGCGCCGAATCGCCGATGCATCGGCGATGCGTCTCGATGTGGAGCCCGATTTTCTCCACGCCGACACCGCCGATGGGTCGCCGACGTTGCCGATGCATCGCCAATGCATCGGCGGTGCATCGCTATGCGGCGCGATCCTTCGAACTCATCTACTCGGACCCCGCATAGGAGGCCTCCCCATACGCATAGGTTCAGCGAACCACTTGTTGCCATCCCTGGGCAAAACAACAGTTTTGCTCTCAGCCAAGATCAGGGGCATCGACGATAAGGGGGGAGAGGAATGGGGGGGGGGACGCATCGACCCCCACTCGCCCATTGATCGCCGATAGGGGTCTGATAGCCCCACCCCGCCCAGGACGGTGCGGTCTCGCTATCGGGGGCCTATCGCCGATCTATGGCGATGTATCGCCGATTCCAGGTCGATGCATTCCCCCCTATGCCAGTCCCCCCCTAGCGTTGCCCCTTACAAGGAGAATTGCCTGCAGACATGTTTGCCTTCAGCGAGCGCCCTGCTGCGCGCGAGAGCGGTCCCTCGCAGGGGGAGGCCTTGGGTGTAGACATGTGCGAGCCCACCGCGGGTTTTTTGGATGCATTACAGGAGGGGTGAAACTCATAATCGGCGCTGGCATTTCACGAGGGGTGATATTCAGAATCGGTGAGGGCAGTTCTCAGAATGCTCGCTGTAGCTAGACATCCTTCCATCCTTCCTCTCCCCTCCTCCTCCTCCGCAAATTTCGCTAGCAGGTTAACGAACAGCGGGTCACCAAGTACAAAGACTGCTGGTGATCTCATCCCTTTCCCCCTGCATGGCGTATTTACTTGTTCTATGTTTTCCCGCATGTGCGTATTCGCAGTATTTCTGTGCCGATGTGCCGTCTAGGCATGGCTTCCTGCTTGTGTGTGCTGGCATATCCCTGGTCGAAACTGGCCTAATTTGGTTTACCCCGCTTAAGTCCGCTTAATCCTGTCAATCCGGCTGAGTCCCCTGCTCAATCTGGCTTTATCTGGCTCAGTCGCCCTTTCATCGGGCTTCATAGGTTTCAATCGTTCTGGCGAAGACGACCTCCCAGGAGTTGCCTCCGAAGGGTTCCCCAGTGACTTCTTTCCTAGACTCGACGCTGGTGTGCAGTTTACAGTTTGCTGCCAGCACGACCCTCAGTGGGCCCTCAGTGGGGCCTCTGAGGCACATGGCTGCGGAGGTGTGGGAGGGCTGCTGCAATCCCGCCCATCCCACCCATCCCGCCTGCACTGGCTCGCGCCGCCTGGATTGGCGCTCCCCTTCTCCCTTCCCGCGACCCCCCGCCCCCCTGAGTCCCCAAGGGCTTGACTGCTTTGCTCCGGTGGACTTGGTGTGGGGATCGACTCCCGCAATCCTGCCCGCAACGGCTGAAGCCGAGCACTAGAGTTTGGTGGGCCCTGGAAACGAGAGGACAGTCCTTCTTTGTCGTTTTCGTTCTTCAGTTTCTTGAAAGTTTTCTGGCGCTATTGTTTTGACGTGACTAGTGCCGTTGTTTTGACGTTTTCGTTTTCCTTGGCTTGGGCCTGGTCCAGATCACCGTTTCTGATTTTCCAGATACCAGCCGTTTTCGAACCAGTCCCGAACGTCTTTCGGATCCACAGCGTGCCCAGGCCGTTCCGGTGAACCGTTTTTCTACCGTCTCGGTGAACCGTTTTTCGCCATTGTCATTCTATGAGGCAGTTGTTCGAAAACGGTCAAGAATGGCCCTGCCGTTTCCAGGGTCCACAGAGAGCCTGCAGCGCCAGCCGAGACCCCTCGGGGTTGCGCCAGCAGTCTCTGTCGGCACGCCGCCGCTCGGCGCCGTCCATCGAGGAACAAGACATGACGTGAGCGTAAACTCGGAGGTCCGCGAGGATTTCTTGAATCGGCGCTGGGGTTCCCCCGGGCGGCGCCTCTGGCGCCGCCCCTGGCGCGCTCCGCGCGCCAGTGAGGGGCGTCCAGCGCCGATCCAAGAACTCCGCGCGGACCACCGATAGTTGATGCTCGCGTGATTCTCTGTTTCCAGGGCCCACCAAAGCACCACCTACTTGCCAGCACAGGGGTTCGACGCAAGGCACGACCTCTGTTTCCCTCCGAGCGGCGGTCTGCACTCGAGCGCGCAGCGCTATACGGCGCTGCGCGCCCGGCCCCGCAGCTGGGGCAGCTCTGCCGAGGCGGAGCCCCCCCTCCCCCCTCGAGCACCGGCCAGATGGCGCCAACATCGCAGAGCGGGTTTCGCTCGGAAAAACAACGGGATGGCCCAGACCGCCCTGGAGACTTTCGCTCCGAATTTCGAAGTGAAACTCGTGCGGAGTTCGTTTTGGGCCAGGAGTGAAGACTACAAAGCATCCGCGTAGTCTTCACTGCGTTTTTCGCTCGCCGCTTCGGGGTCTGACAGACCTCCGCGCAAGACTCTGCTGCAGCACGTCTGCAAGGTAAGAGGCCGCCCCCTGCACAGGGCCACCCTTAAGTTGGGCACGGCCTTCTACAGGAGAAAGATTCAAAAATAGGAAACAAATCGTCTGGGGACGAATTTTCGATTATTTTTGGACCATTTTTGAATTTCTTTTGGCTATCTATTCTTTTCCGTCCAAGCTCCCCCTGTAGCAGGACATGCCCGACCTAAGGCCACCCCTCCGCGCCGCCGAGGACGGGGCCGCGGAGGCCGGGCCCGCGGCGGTCTTCCTGTGCGCGCCCTCGCTGCCCTCGCCGCTGCCGCCGGGCGCCCGGAGGGCCTCCGCGGACGCCGGCCTGGCGGCCCGCGGTGCCGAGGCGCAGGGCGCAGTCGCAACGCGAGCGCCGCCGAGGCAACGCGAGCGGGCCCCGTTCGGCCAAAGAGCAAACGGCACCACCCCGCCCAGGTGATCATGTTTTCATTCCTTGTTTTACCGATGGGCGCGGGCCCTCGCACCCCCCCTCCCTGTCGAGTAGGTGGAGTCTTCCCCAGAGGACGCCTGGTTCCAAACAGCCGCGCTCGGCAGAGGTCCGAGCCAGACCCCCCCCTCTCCCTCCCCCTTTCCGCCCAGTGTCGAAACGCCGAATGAGAATGCTGACCACTACGGTCAAAGCTTCCAGTAAGGACGCACGGATGTCCTCAGGATGCCCTGGCGTCCTTGCCTCGGCGGCCCGTCCTTGGCGGTCTTCACCGACCAGCCCTTCGGGGTGCTGGCAGTCCGCCGCCCAAAAAGTGCCAACTTCGGCGTCCGAGGCCCTTGCGTCCTTACCGCCCGTCCTTACTATAGATTTCGACTGTACGACCGTCCGTGCTGCGCTGCGGCCCCTTCGGGGGCCGTAGCGCATACCACGCAAAAGGCCACGCCAGGCTTCCAGGTACACGCGAACCCCCGTGGGGCCGCAGGTGGGGTGGTGTCGATTGTTTTCTCTGGTCCACCCTGTCTCACTAGCTCAAAACAGACGCCCGATCCCGAAAACGCGAGGGCCAAAGCAAAACGCAGGGTCCTCGAGTCTTCGGGGAGGGAGATTTCGGGGTAGGGTTTTACCAGGGGGACAACGACGAACGCAGACCATACCCCGAAATCTTTGGCCGATGCTCGAGTCCTTGGTGACTCTGCGATTTTGGGACTGCGTTTTTCTTGGTCACTGTCGGCTGTACGTAGGAGTGGCGCTTCGCCGGAGCGGCCACTGGTGCGAGGCTTTCGGAGGGGCGCGGGGTTTGGCCAAACCACGCGGGCCGCTGCCGCCGCATCGCGCGCCGCGTTCGGCAAGCCGTGCGCCAGAGGGCACCAGGGTGACTCTCACGTGCAGCCGACCCTTGGGGTGCCAGGCACGATCGCTAGCAGGTGGCAAGACCACAATAACAAAATGCCTCGGGGGTGCCAGGCACAGTCGCAGGTACGCGTAAGCCAGCGCGAGCAGGCCCTGGGGATGCCAGGTGCAGTCGCACGCCCTGGGGGCCAGTCGGGCCCTGGGACTGTCAAAAAGGGGTCTGGGAAGCACTACTATCCTTGGGGAAGGGACCAGGGATGCTGGGGGCGCGTATTGAAAACATCACATCAGCGGATGTCAGGGTCCTTCTTCTTCCCTTGACCTTCGTGTGGTGACCACACCGCGCGGTGAGTCAGTGAGGATTCGGGGTCACTGCACGGTTACGGGACTCGCGCCGTTCTCTCCGAGGGCTTCTTTGGCGACCGGGGCCTCCGAGGCCGAGGTCCCAAGACCGTGCGTGGCGGACCGCGCCGTGAGGTATCTTGTGATCTCGAGGCCACCACGCGGTCCTCCTCCTCCTCCTCCTCCTCCTCCTCCTCCTCCTCCTCCTCACGGTCTTGGGACCCCCCGAGCAGCGCCCACGCCCCGCCGAGGCCATCGGCGAACCCGCCCTTGGGGGGCTTCTCTTGTCGGCGGGCCTCTCGGGGGAGCGATGCGGGCGCCACTCCCTGCGTGCCAGCGCCCAGGGTCTGGCCCCCAGGGAGTCTTCGCTGCGGGGCGTCGTGCCACACTGGGCTTCTGCCCACGACGACGACGTCGGCGGCGACGACGACGGCGACGACGGCGACGACGACGACGACGACGACGACGACGACGACGACGACGACAAGCCTCCCCCGAGAGAGGCGGCGCAGCCGCCAGCGGAGGACGCCGGCGCGGGCTGCGGCGTGACGCCGGCGAGCCTGAAGCACCTGCGGCGGCAGAACGCGACGCTGGCCGAGGGGCTCGAGCGGGCGGGCACGGAGGTTGCGGCGCTGCAGGCCCGGCTGCAGGACCCTAGGCCTCCCAGATGGGGTCCGAGCAGAGTCGAGGCTGATTAGTAGGTCGACCCTGCCAAATCAAGGGTACCCTCGTGCCCCGTGTTCCGCGACTCATGCCTTCTACGTTCCCGTGGCAATGTGGCCCTCGGAAGGGTCTTGTGTCCTCTCGCGTGTCCTCTCCAATCAGCCCTGGCTGTAGATGGGGCCGGAGGATCGTGTCACATCCCCGATGCATCGGCGATGCGGCTCGATATGGATCCCGATTTTCTCCACGCCGACGGCGCCGATGCATCGCCGACGTCGCCAGCGCATTGCCGGTACATCGGCGATGCATCGCCCATGCATCGGCTATGCGGCGCGATCTGGGAGGCCCTCAAGGATTCGGAAAAGAGAGCGCGACGTAAACATACACTTTCTGAGCTCCGCGCGGATCTCTTGGGTGGGCGCTGGGGCCCCCCTGTCGGCGCGTCCGGCGCCGCCCCCTGGCGCGCCGCACTGCCCCCTGGCGCGCCGCCCCGCGCCAGGGTTAAGTCGGGCGTGTCCCTCTACAGGAGCAGTGTCAAGACATAGTTCAAAAAATAGTCTCGGGACAGTTTGGAAAGCGCGCCAGTGGATGGCCCTGAATACACAAACGGGGGTGTGTGCTCGCAGAACCCCCCCCCCTCCCCCCCTCCAAAGGGGGGGTGAGATTTTCGAGCCCCCCCCCCCCCTCCTCCCCTTCAGGGGTGGGGGGGTTGCGACCCCCCCCTCCCTCCTCCTTGAAGGGAGGGGGGGGGTCCGGACCCCCCCCCCCTCCCCCCCTTGGCGCTGGAAAGGGGGAGGGGGTTCGAACCCCCCCCCCAGCCCCCCCTATGCGCCGAACAGGGGGCTAGGGAGGGGGCCTTTCGGGTAGTGAGTAGAGAGTAGAGGGTTTTGAATAGCGATTGGTGAGTAGTGGGTATGTGATAGTGAGTAGTGGGCAGTGAGTCGTGAGTAGTGGGTATTGTGTAGTGGTAGTAGTGAGTAGTGCGTAGAGATTAGAAAGTAGTGAATAGTGAGTAGTGGGCAGTGAGTAGTGGGAAGGAAGTAGAGAGGAAGTAATTATGAGTAGTGAGTAGTGAGGAGTGAGTATTGTGTAGAGAGTTTCATGCATAGTGAGTAGTACTCAGGGAGTAGGGAGGAGGGGGTAGACAATAAATAGCGAGTAGTGAGTAGTGAGTAGTGAGTAGTGCGCAGTGAGTAGAGAGTAATGAGTAGTGAGTGGCGAGTAGCGAGTAGCGAGTAGGGAGTAGCGAGTATGGAGTAGCGAGTAGTGAGTACTGAGTAGCGAGTAGGGCCTTGTGAGTAGTGAGGAGGGAGTAGTCAGGAGTCAGTAGTGAGTAGTGAGTAGGGAGTTGTGCGTAGCGAGTAGGGAGTAGCGAGTAGTGAGTAGTGAGTAGTGAGCTGTGAGTAGGGAGTAGTGAGTAGTGAGAAGCGAGAAGTGGGTATTGAGTAGTGGGTAATGAGTAGGAAGCTGCGAGCAGAAATTAGTGAATACTGAGTAGCGAGTCGTGAATAGTGAGTAATGAGTAGTCAGTAGCGACTTGCGATTAGTAGCTAGTGAGTAGGGGGTAGTGAGTAGCGAGTAGTTCGTAGTGGGTAGTGAATATTTCGTATTGGATAGCGAGTAGCGGATAGCGAGTAGTGAGTTGTCGGCAGTGCGTAGTGAGTAGTGAACTGTGAGTACTCAGTAGTAAGTAGTGGATAGTGGTTAGTCGGTAGTGAGTAGTGCTTCGTGAGTAGTGAGTAGTGGGCAGTGAGTAGTTTTCAGTGTGTAGTGAGTATTGAGTATTGGGTAGTGAGTAGTGAGGAGTTCGTTGAGAGTAGTGAGTGGGGAGTAGGAAGTAGTGAGTAGTGAGTAGTGTGAGCGTAGTGAGTAGTGAGTAGTGGGTAGAGAATAGTGCGAATCGGGTAGCGAGTAGGGCGTTGGGACTAGCGAGTCGTGAGTCGGAGGTGAGGGGGCGAGATCGAAGTGGAACGGAGAGCCCCCTACCGGGAAATCGATTTCTGTTTCGTGTTCGTGCGTGCCGTGCGGGCGAGGCGAAGCTGCGTGGGCGGGCGAGAGAAAGTCTCCTGTGGCTGAGGCGCGGCCGGACCAAATGTCTCCCTTCCGGGCGGCCGGGGCCCCGCGGTGTCCCGCCGGTGTCCCGCCGGTGTCCCGCTGGTGTCCCGTGTGGCTGAGGCGCGGCCGGACCAAATGTCTCCGTTCCGGGCGGCCGGGGCCCCGCGGTGTCCCGCCGGTGTCCCGCTGGTGTCCCGAAATGCAAATCGGCATGCAAATCGGCATGCAAATCGGCATGCAAATCGAAATGCAACTCGACATGCAAATCGACATGCAAATCGACATGCAACTCGACAATGCAAATCGAAAATGCAAATCCGCATGCAAATCTAAATGCAAATCGAATTCCAAATCGACATGCAAATCGAAATGTAAATCGACAGTGCAAATCGAAATGCAAATAGAAATGCAAATCGAACATGCAAATCGAACATGCAAATCGAAATGAAAATCGAACTTCAATCGAAATGCAAATCGACATGCAAATCGAAATGCAAATCGACATGCAAATTGAACATGAAAATCGACATGCATATCGAAATGCAGACCGACATGGAACTCGACATGCAAATCGACAATGCAAATCGACAGTGCAAATCGAACATTCAAACCGACATGCAAATCTAATACAAATCGACATGCAAATCAACATGCACATCGAAAATGCAATTGGAAAGTGCAAATCGAAATGCAATTCGACATGCAAATCGAAATGCAAATCGACAATGCAAATCGAACATGCAAATCTACATGCAAATCTACATGCAAATCTACATGCGAATCTACATGCAAATCGACTGAGATCGATAGTTGGAGGGATAGTGAGATCGAGTGTGAGATCAGTGAGATCCATCGAGTGGGATCGAAAGTGAGATCGATAGTGAGACCGACAGTGGGATCGATAGTGAGATCGGTTGTGGGATCGATGGTGATATCGAGAGTGAGACCAGGCGAGTGAGATCGATGATGAGATCGATTGTGATATCGATAGTGAGATTGATCGAGTGAGATCGATCGAGTGAGATCGATAGTGAGATCGATAGTGAGATCGATCGAGTGCGAGTTTGTCCCCTCCCCCCCGAACCTCCTTATCACCCGAAGGGTGGTCGTATAGGTAGTGAGTACTCTGTAGGGAGTAGTGAGTAGCGAGTAGCGAGTAGTGGATAGTGAGTAGTGAGTTGTGGGCAAGGAGTAGTGGGTAGTGAAGTGTGACTAGTGAGTAGTGGATAGTGGTTAGTGGGTGGTGAGTAGTGATTTGTGATTAGTGAGTAGTGGGTTGTGTGTTGTGATTTGAGTAGTGAGTATGCAGTAGTGGGTAGTGAATGGTGAGTAGTTTTGAGTGAGTAGTGAGTAGTGAGTAGGGAGTAGGGAGTAGTGAGTAGTGGGTAGTGAGTAGTGGGTCGTGCGTAGTGAGAAGTGAGTAGTGAGTAGCGAGTCGTGAATTGTGGGTAGTGTGTAGTGCGTAATGAGCAGTGAGTGCTGGTTGGGGCCAGGGTTTGGGTTTGGGGTGAGGGTTGGGGGTTAGGGTAAGGGTGAGGATTCGTGTTAGGGGTGGTCTGGGTCGGGTTCCGGAGACCGGGGGCGCCGTGGCGAAATGGGGGGGGGGCTTCGAATTTGGCGGCCGAAGGGGGGGGGGGAGGTGGAGGGGGGGTCGGAACCCCCTCCCCCCCCTTTTGAAAATGGGGCGGGGTTCCCCGACGACGGACCGGGAAAGGGGGGGAAGGGGGGGGGTCCCCGACGACGGATCGGGAAAGGGGGGGAGGGGGGGGCTTCCCCGACGACGGATCGGGGCTTGGGGTCATCCAGCGGCGCGCCCTCGATAATTTGTCCATTATTCGATTTTATGATTACTATTGAGTTTGTTTGACTATTTTTAATTTCTCCTTCCAAGATCCCCCTGTAGGGGGGGCATGCCCGACCGAACGCCCGGGAGGGGGGTTCCAGGGCCGACCCGCGCGGAGCTCCGAGCGTTCGTGCTGGTGTGCCGTGCTTGCCTCCTCTATGAGGACGAGCAGGGCAGGGCGTCCGGCCTCGCGGCGTCGCTGGCGGAGGCGGAGCATCGCGAGGCGGCCCTGCAGCAGGAGGTCGCGGTCGGCAGGTGATCGTTTTCTTATTATTTTGCCGATCGGCGCGGGCCCCCGCACCCCCCCCCCTCCCCCCTCCCCCCTCCGTGCAGTAGATCTTGGCTGTTTTCGGCGCCTGTTTCGAGCAGGCGGAGCCTCCCCCATGATGGACGCCTTGCTACAATCAGTAGGAGCCAGACCTCCCCCCTTTCCCCTTCCGCCCAATGTCGAAAGGCCGAGTGAGAAAACGCCCAGGGGGCGAGAGAACGCGCAGTGCCGCAGGATCGAGGAGCTGTCGCTGCTCAACGCCAGGCTGGAGGAGTCCCTGTCGCTGCGCGAGGCCGAGGTCCTGACGCAGAGGAACCCCCGCCAAGGTGTACGTCCACATCCTCACCGCCCACCAAGCCACCCCAACCCAACCCGAAGGCCCCGATTTGTCCTCCATGACCATGGGGGGGGGGGCGTCGGGGAACATGGACAAAAACACAGATGGAGCTCGTAGCCCCCCCCAACCCGACATTCGGGTCTTCGGGTTGGGTTGGGGTTGTCTGGTAGGTAGTCACATCCACCGCTGTGGAGTCGTGCCCTGGGCTCCCGGGGAGTGGTGGATGTGGATATTCTCGCGCCTTCTGGGCTGGGCAGAAATCCAGGCCCACCACTCCCAGGCGTGCCCAGCCACAACCCCGACACGGTGGATGTAGATACGGTGGGGGTGCTCGTGAAGGGATGTGCCTGGGAGGCTTCGGACCCTGTAGGGCTCCTTGTCTGACGAGGGCGGTGGTGACATTCATGGCCAGGACTTACTTCGTGTTTTACCGGCTTCCAGACCCAGGGTTCTTTATCCACGGGTTCTCTACCCAATGTTGGAGTCGTCTGGGGGTCGGGGTCTGCCAGCAGGAAGGGCGGGCAGGCTCGAGGTCCTGGGTTCGGGACAGTTCTCCGCCTCTCTCAGCCTCGGTGGGCCGCCTTCGGGCCGCGGGGCCGCGAAACAGGGACCCTGCGTCAGAAACGGCACCAGATGGACCCTCGGAGGGGTCCAGGGACCGATTCTGAGGGGATTTGGCCTCAGCCCCCCCTCCTGCCCTCCTGACGACTTTGTGGGGCCGCGACCAGTTCAGACCCCCGGCCGCCTCCAAGTTGCGGCGGCGAGCGAGGGGGGCGAATGAGAAGGAGAAGGCCTTCTCAGAAGGCGGCGTGACTTCTCAGGAGCCCTCGCGCCTTCCGAGAAGCTTTCTGTGCCTTCGGGGACGTCATCGAACATTTTCCAGCAAGCCTGGGGGACTTCTGTGCCTTCTGAGAGGGCCCGCCCCTCCTCACTTCCCCCCTGGGCTCGCCGCCTCCGACCCAGACCCCCGACGTCGTGTTTTTTTGTCTTTTTTTGTGTTGCATGACGCGACCCCCAGTGGTCGGGACCCATGCCCCGGGACCAGTCTTCCTCCCGAGCCGTTTCTTGACGGCCCCGAGGCCCTGTGTAAGGGCCCCCCAGCGGGGCCGACGAGAGAGAGAGCGGAAAGCCTTCCGGCCGTTTGGTTTCTGCATGGTTCGAGGGTGTCTCTGGGCCTCCTAGATGGGGTCGGAGCAGAAGGGGTCGGAGGATCGCGCCGCATCGCCGACGCATCGGCAATGCATCGGCGATGCGGCTCGATGTGGAGCCCGATTTCCTCCACGCCGACGTGGCCGATGCATCGCCGACGTCTCCGATGCATCGCCGACGCATCGGCGAATGCATCGGCGATGCGTCGGCGCAGTCCTCCGACCCCATCTGCTCCGACCCCCTCTGGGGGGCCTCTGGCGCCCGGGAAGTCCGAATGCCCTCGCCGCGCACCCTGGCGGCGACGAGGAGGACCCTGGCCCAGCTGCGGCTGCGGCAGGCGGCCGACGCCTTCCGGAGCGAGGGCCGCCACGCCGCCGCCCGCGGGGCCGCGCCCGCCGAAGCGGCCAGCGGCGAGCCGCAGCCGCAGGCTCAGGCGCTGCGCACGGGGGGGGCGGCCAGCAGCTTGGCATCGCTCGGCCCAGACCCCCTCGGGTCATGCAGCAAAAATCACGACGGGAGGTTTTGTTCAACTTTCGGCCTCGGGGGGCCCTCGCCGGGCCTCGGGGCCGTCAGAAAACGACTCTGGATGAGAACCCGGTCCCGGCGAATGGGTCGAGGCTTCTGGGGGCCGACGCCATAAAAAGATCATGACGTGGGGGGTCTGGGGGACGTGTACATGTTTTCTCTCGGCGAGGACCTTCGAGAAGCATCTTCGACCATCGGGCCAACAAAAACACGCACAGGGAAGGGACCTCCGAGCGACGGCGAGGTGGGGGAGGGTGCGAAAAACTGCCCAAGACATCTGCACGGACCTCCAAAAGTTTATGCTGATGCTGTTTTTTGTTCCTTTAGGGTTGTGCATTCTGTGTGCCTTGGGGCCCGGAAGGCGCCGCCCGGGGCCCCGAAAGGGGCACCCACGAGCGGCGACCTCATTCATGCCCTCGCGGTCTGGACTCCGAAGCGCGCGATCCCGTGGATTACACGGTCGCATGGATGCGCTCCGCGCGGGACATCCGTGAACAACGCGCCCCGTATCCATGGGCTCGCTGCCCAGTGGCCCGGCCCGCGAGGCCGCGGATACGGATGCTTCTCCCGCCCGCGAGGCGCGAAAGGTGGGCATTTCTCCCCCCCACCCCTTGGCATTTCTCCCCCCCCCCCCCCTTTGATCGCCCCCCATGAGCCGGCGGCGCACCTCCGGGGGGAAGTGAGACGGGGCAGGCCTTCTCAGAAGGCGGCGGGGCTTCTCAGAAGCCCCTCCGGTGCTCCGAGGAGTTTTCGGCATTTTTTTTCAGGGACGGCTCAGAGAAAACTCTGCAGAAGGCCCGGGGCCTTCCGTGCCTTCTGAGCAGGCCGCCGCCCCTGCTTGCTTCCCCCTGGGCTGAAGTCGGGCCCGTCCCTGTACAGGAGGCATATTCAAAAATAGTATGGGGACGTTTTTATTTGATTATTATTACGTTTTTATTGGATTAATATTCGATTATGTTTGGATGTTCTTTTGTTTTACGATTTTTGTTGTGAAAATTCTTCTTCTTATTATTATTACTGTTCACACTATTATTAATAATATTAGTTTTTTGGTTTCTTTTATTCTTTTCATCAAGAATCCACCTGTAGGGGGACACGCCCGACCTAACCCTGAGCTCGCCCCGCCGTGAGATCAGGCGATCGCAAACATGAATTAAGGGTGCGTGGATTAGCGACGGGCAGCGTTCCCACGGGAAATCATGGAGTTCCGCCGCCGAACGAGGCGGCACCGGCCGCCTTTTGGGGAGGGC